TCATTCAGTTGGCTAACCAGTGAAGAGCCAAAGAAGTGTAAAACTCTTATGCCTAGTGAACTGAGAATGAAATCCTCGAATGAAGTTCCTGTTGTCCATATTGATTATTTTTAGTTGGAATGACTGGTTTCTTAATTGGGTAGCAAGGGATAAGGAAAGTATACAGAGAGACAGAGAACGCCTCAGAGAGAAAGAGATATAAGCCTGTCAGAGTGAAGTCATGGGAAGGTGGAAAGAATCTGCCACATTAACCACCATATCCCTTGTCTGTGTCCCCCAGGACTAAGATGGCACCTCCATTAGCCACCACAGCTCACTACTCATAAAGCAAGCTCATCCTAAGCATTCCATTTCTTACATTTCAATTGCCATCTTAATGGTGGTCAAAGCCATAATTGAGGAGACAACCAGGTCTTGCTGCAGGTTATCTGACATTGGGGTGTGAGTAGGCTGCATTTATTTCCCTATGGCTATCTTATGATCCCTACCTCCCAGGACTGTTGTGAGGATAAATGAGATAATAATCATAAAGCCCTTAGCACATAGTAAGAACTACGTATGTAAATATTAGTTGCTATCATTGTTACCTTGAGATCTTCAAGGTGCTACAACACCTATTTGGTTCATTCTGCTCCCTTGCCACCATTCCTATGGGGCCCATCACCCATTATGCCCCCTTTCTGGTGCCCAGTCCCACTAACCCATCAGCATTTTCTTTACGCTAGAGTAATAACTACAGAAGTGACTTGTGAAGATCAGCTTAGATGGAATTCCAAGGCTTTCCTGTACCTCAAATATGTTCTTTCCCATTCTGGCCCCGTGTTCTCCCCATATTGGGAGACCTTGTATCCTAGGATCAACATTTCCCATTTCCCCAACAGAATTCTGTCTCAAAGTCTTTCACCCTATGTAGCATTGTAGTCTGAGGTTCATGGTCCTCCCAAAGGGTACCCTTGCTTGCCCCTGGTACCAGAATTGCTAGTACAATATCTACTTCCACCCAAGTGAGCTGGGAGAGGGACAGCTCTCTGCTGCATGCTGTGTATACAGAGGGAGATGTGATTCCTGAATGTCAAAGAGATTGCTGAGTGTGACTGTGTGTGTGTGTGTGTGTGTGAGAGAGAGAGAGAGACAGACAGAGAGTTAAGGTGAAAAATTTTGAATGGCTACTTTCCTGTCTTACAGTATGCATTTGTTGAATATTAATCATAGACTTTAGATCACCAACAAGCTTAGGCCAGACCTTTACAAACTGCTGGAGAGAAGGGTAAGTAGGAAGGTTCACAGTAAGAATCAGCCAATTCAGTACCACATATACTTTAAGGCTGCCATTAGAATATTGATGTAAGAGCAAACAATGATGAAATAATTTAGCTTCTTATAAATTTTGTTTAGGTAGTGTGACATATAAAAAGTTTGAGAGACATAATTTCTAGATAACTTATCATTTTATTAATCATGCTAGCAATAATTAATAAAAGGGATCAGTGACACTCTTACACGCCCAAGACCCCTCCTGGAACCCACTCAACACTTATATGCCCTTGGAAAAGTGGGTGTTCCTGAGGGTGGCAATCAATTCTGATTGGTTAACAAGTAATTAGAGAGAATTAATATTATAATGAGGGGTGGAGCTATTCTAATGAGGGACTGTGGGGAAAGTGACTTTGATTATATGTTTACTTCCAAATCTCTGGGCCTTGGGCAGGCTAATCAAAGAATTTATCCCCACCCAAATCTAAGTAGAACACAGGGTTTCCCCACCTGAGTGGGGACTGAACAAGATTGAGAAGAAAGTTAATCCAATCTCATTATTAGCAATGTCTTCCAGCCTTTGTCTCCCCAATATTAACAATTAGTTTTTTAATAAGCATTTCTCTCAGTAGAAAGGACTTGTGATTTTTTTTAAATATTATCTTTAGAGAATCCATAGATGGATTTGATATCACTAAATGGTCCATAAAATGGCATCTTTTTATTGTCGTAGAACATAATATATGCTTGAAGATAATAACTGAGGTAAAGCGTATGTCTTTGGGATAGATAAAACTAGAATTTTCTCTATTTTCTTCCAAGTTATGTGCTGTCATTGATGTTTTCATGACATAAGAAAAAAGTGATAGTTTTTCACATGGGTTTTGATTTTGCTGAATTTTTTCCTTTTCCTTCTTTTTTGGAAAAAATTTATTATAAGGGGTGGCTCTCTGGGAAGGAAAATGGGGAGAGGTATGGGGGAAATCAAACAAAAATATTTTTAAAAACTATTTAAAAATAAGCAGTATATAATGAACTATGGGGAAAAAATACAGCATTACATCCCTGGTTTATCTTCTACAACCAACTTCATAAACTGACAATGCTGTATTTGTAAAAAACATTTAATTTCTTTTTCTTCTCAGCAAGCAATATAACGAATGGCTTTCATTATATCACATCCAACTCCCAGTAGGACGAATAATCCCTTGGAGAAATGTGTGGAATTATGGTGACTTGCTAGCTTAAGTGGTGGTCACAATTTCTTCTCATTTTCAACCTGCTTTCATTCTCCAAAAAAAAAAAGCTCTACAGAAAAGTAACACTTCGATTTTGTGAAGTATAGTGAAATACTTTTCTTATAGTAAAATTTCTTCATAGAGGCAGTATAGTGCAATAGAATAAGCACTGGTTCTGGAGCCAATAGACCTGAATTCAGATCTCTCCTCTGACGATTATTTGTGTCACCAGTGGGCAAGTCACTTAACCTCCCTAGGCCTGTTTCCTCATCTGTAAAATGAGTGCAGGAGGAAAGTAAACTACATGGTCTTTGAGGTTACTTATAGCTCTAGACTTCTGATTCTAAAATCAAGTCATAACTTGGCAATGTAACTATTTTCAGACACTATTAGTTTGTAGTAGTTGTTTCAAGGAAAAGATAGAGTAAAAGGGTCTGAACTGATGAAAACTTGGGAGATGTGAATCCTAACCAAAATAGAATAGGAATAATTATTCTGGGAATTGTGCAACAGTCTGGTGTAATCTGATATCTAGAAATGCATTTGGCTATACTCCTATTCTTTGAAAAATGTAAGAACTTAAGGGGGCACTGCTGATTCTATTATTTTAATGCTAAATATGTTCAAATTCAGTTGTGGTGGCATATGAAATGGTAACAATTGGCTTTCCAGTCTGAGTCAGACCATAGGGTTATTATCAAAGATAAGTGTTCATTTCAGTGGCAGCTTAAAAACAAAATAAAAAGTATCCTAACTGACCTTGCACATCATGTGAAAGCAGATTAAGGAGTCTTGGAGTGAAAAGATGTATCAATGTCAAAAAACTTTTTAAAATGGTGAGCATGAACTTTGCAACTGTTTGTGCTGAAAGAATAGGAGTGCACTAAAGATAATTTCTAAATGTTTTATATTTTCCACCCTGGAGCTTTCCTCTTGTCTCTTGTTCTTTTAAAAAAAAAAGTTTACGAGAGCAAAGCCTGTCATTACTTTTTCCCAGATTTGGTCACAAGACTCTGGGATAAAATATTGTGTCAAGTGTTCTCCCGAAATCCATGAATGTTTAATAGATTCAAAGGCCCTAATTAAGTTTTAAACCCAGCAATTAACACTTTTTTTCTAGAAAAGAAAGGGCCAGGAGACTCCTCATTTGTGAATGCTAACACTACATTATCATGCTCAACCTTACTATTAAAATCAGTGAGCCATCAACGTGAGGCTGTAAATGTCTGGTGAACTGGAACGCAAAAGCCTATCAACTGGATTGTGACTTCACTAAGCACCTGAAATTTCCTAACAATCAGAGCCGTCCAAAATTGCCTCAGAAGATCATAGCTTTAAAGTTGGAAGGTGCTGTAAAGCTCATCTGAGCCAAATCCTTTATTTTGCAGCCCAGAAAAGCAAGGTTCTCCCCTCATCACCTCCCCCCCCCAAAATAACCCGGTTAAGTGAAGTGCCTAAGTTTACAAAAGTATATAGTAGAGTCCCAATTTAAACACAGGTGATTTCAAACTCCGTAGGGCGTTTCCCCTCAATACACCCCCGTAACCTTCTCAGTGATTTGCAATTCTAGGTCTTCTAAGACTTGATCAGGAATGTTGCTGTCATTTTGTTTTGCGTTAGTGATGGTTAGAATAGATGACATCTAAGGTTCCAGCCTCTTTCAATTCTAAAATTGCATCAACCTTCAAGTGAGTAGGCACCGGTAAGTAAGATAGTTATTCCATCTTCAAATCCTCCAGTTCCCAGATTACAAGAACAATGAGCTCCAGGTTGCACTCTTCCCCACCCCACTCCCCCTTTTTTTTTTAACAGTCTTCGCCATCCCCACCCAGAAATGTTAGAAAAATTAGTCCACTCTCTGCCAGACCTTAAGTGGGTGGGGAAGAATCTCTCTCTCCTACTGGCTGCCTTAAATATCACTTGGTTATTTGCAGTTTGGAAATGAGCTAAAGGGTAAACGAAGCTTCAGGGAGGCTCGTTCCGTCCGGGACCCGTGATTGGTGGGTCCAAGGCCAAAGGGCGCCCCGCCAGCCATCTGGCTAAACCTGTTTTGGCTCGGCCCCGCTGCCAACCCGAGAGGATCGAGCTGCTTCTGCCTACGGCCTGGGATAGGAAGGGCTCCGGGAATTCCTCGGGGTCAGGGATAGGGCTAGGAGGCAGACGTCTCACTCGCTTGGCTGCAGTGAGCGGAGGGGGTAGTGCGTGCATCTGTCCCCAGGTAAGGGCAGGGCGCGCGGTCGGGCGGCGGTGCGCCCGCCAGGCTGGCGGTTCCCCCTTATTCGCCTCTGGGTGAGTTATTCTTGCTCTTGTTCTGCAAAGGCACATGCCTGTTCTCCCGGAGTCCACGCCATCCCCGGCTTTCCGGGCCCACGGCCTTAGGATGTTCATTGCGGATTCAGGAGGCTGCGTTTTCCTCCCGGGGGTGGGGCCTCTGCGCCCACTTCCCATTGGTCGGTGGGGCGCGGCCCCCGCCGCGCTGCGGGCTTCCCGCAGGGAGGGAGGGGCGGAGCGGGGGCGTGGCTCGGAGGCCAATGTTCCGAATTCAGGCGGCCGGGACAGCTAGGCTCCTGAGTGCGGGGGCCGGCGGCGGCCTGGAAACGCGCGCGGGTGAGGTCCCGACGGGGCGTGCTGGGGACGGAGGCCGGGGAGGGGGCCTTCGGGCCGGGCCGGGATGAAGATGCTGCCGCCGCCGCCGCGGGGGGAATCCCCGACGCTCGGCCGGAAGGGCGGGGGGGGGGGACTGGACATGGGCCGCGGCCCTGGCCCCCGGCTTCTCCGCCCTTGGGTCTGGCTCGGCTTCCCCGGGGGTCCGGGCCTGCGGGGGAGGCTGGCCCTCAGCCTCCGAGGGGTTCTCATGGCCTGCGCGGGGGCGGGCGACCTGCCGTGGGCCCCGTCGCCACTTGTTGGGGGGCCCTCCGTCGCGAGGGGAACCATCACCCACTCAATCAGCAGCGAATAGAGAGGAAAGGGGACCTGGGGGAGAAAGCCGTCCTTCTTGTACCCGCACACCCTTTCTTCCCCTCTAGTTCCCCCTTTCCACGCCCCCCCCAGCAGAGCCCCCTCTTGTAGCCAGACTTCAGATGGGCCAAACACGCCTGTCACAAAATCCAGGGGTCTAGGATTCAAAGGGACCCCGGACACCACCCGGTCCAGGGCATTCTACAGAGGAGAAAACTGAAGCCCGAGGAAACTCAGTACGCTAAGGATCAGGCTCTGGACATCATCCGTGCATGCATCTCAATCTTGACTTTGGGGTGGGGGGCGGAGGGCAACGTTAAAATTCACGTGGGTGTTGTGGCATTCAGCTCATGCCATTCTCAAATATGTGTCAGAGGACAGCCACCAGAAAGCTAGAATGACTTCTGTTTACTGAACCGAGACTTCTTGATATAGGCTAAGAAAAAGTCACGTTAAATATAGCATAGTTTAGACAACGAAACCTAAAATATGAGCTTCCCTTTCCAGGTAGATAAACTGCCCAGCCCGCAAATTGGCCCCTGGTGAAGAAGGCTTTAAGTCTTGGGCTGCAATGTTTTATCTTTCACATCCTTGCCTTGGTAATTCTAGACGGTAACTCTCCAATGTGCTTCCATGGTGGTGAAGGTTCTAGATGTTACAATAAGTATGTACCCATTTCCTCCTTTCAGTGTTGGAGGGATGATCTCAAGGAAGGGTAAGAATGCTTTGAACTTAAAACTGCCTAAAAGCTCACAACGATGCCTTTTTGACTTACTTGAAAAGTTCAGGAGAGTAGTTTGAATTGTTGTTCATCCTTCCTTCTAGAAGAGGACCTCAGGAGGGTGATGTCTATTTTTTTTGGTGAGGCAGTGGGTTTAAGTGACTTGCCTAAGTCACACAGCTAGTGAGTATCATGTGCCTGAGGGTGGATTTGAATTCAGGTCCTCCTTACTCCAAGGACAGTTCTCTATCCATTGTGCCACCTAGCTGCCCCAAAAATCATGATTTTTTTTTTGGCAAGGCGATAGGTATTAAGTGACTTGCCCAGGGTCACACAGCTAGTAAATGTCAAGTGTCTGAGGCCAGATTTAGGAGGGTGATGTTTTGACTTACAAGTGAATTATATTTAAGTGAGGCAGGGCTGTGTAAAGTCCACCAGCCTCACTCTCTCTTCCAGTCATCAGAGTCCAGTGGCAAGATATGGGGCCATTCTACTGGCAGTGGCTGTGGATGCAGTGGGAGACGTTGGCCTTTTTAAGCTAAGATCTTTCCCAAGTCTCACTTCATCTGAAGCAATGCCTGTTCAATGATTAAAGGCTAGACAAGAATTGAGGTAAAAGATGGCTTACTTTCCCTTCATTAAATAATCACTCTGGAAGATTCTGTCCTGAACCTAAACCATTATTATTTACACTGAGCCATCCTAAGAAGAGCAAGTAAGCCTTGGGCTGGGACCTATTGGCCAATCAGTGAAAGCCAGGGTTTGAAGTCATAGTCATGTAGCTCTATTTGACTTACTTGGAACCTCCTGTGGAAGGCAGGCAACAACTTCCTGCCCTTTCAAAAAATGAAGTTGGAGAGTGGTTTAACTGCTGTCGGATTATACGGCATGGTTGGGGTAAAAATAAAGTCATAATGATAGCTTTGATGTATATAGGAATTGTTCAGCAACAAATGCATTTTAGTAAAGAATGAAGCATTTTCTTCCTGATTTTTCTTTTGTCTAGATGCTTTCATTTGTTGGAAACCTTTTTATGCCATATCAGTGTTTCATTTTAACTCTTAGCTGTCCTTTCAGCCTTGTTTTCACCCAACTGTGTTTCACCTGATATTGCCAGCCTTTAGGAACGATTAAAGGCACTAATGCTGCTCAGCCCCTGCTTTCATTAACACTAGATCAGCAAGTTGAAATAATTTTTGTATAAAATTGCTTTGTGTATATCAGATACAGGAAAAAACATTTTCTGAAAGTTAAATTGAGTGATTAAATTTTAGGACTTATCTTTAATGCACAAAAAATAAATATTTTATGTAATCGCCAGATTTTTATCATACTTACTTACTGTTTAGCCAATAGTCACTTTTTGTGGACAGGTTCATGGAATCACTAATCCAGAGATAGAAATAACTATAGACATCATCTAATTCAAGGCACTAATTCTACAGATTAAAAACTGAGACCTAAAGGTGTTTTGGTGGTATACGGAGTTCTAGGCCTGCCTGGAATCAAGATGACCCGAGTGCAAATTCAGCCCTAGTCTCTTACCAGCTATGTGACTCTGGGCAAGTCAGTTAACCTCGGGCTTTCTCAGTTTCCTCATCTATAAGCTAAGCTGAAAAGTTTCAAGGAAACCAGCTATTTTTAAGTATCCTATTTGGACTGTGATATATATTAGGCATACATAGAAATGAAGTGTATAAACGTAGGTATTTTCAGTATTATAAATATCAGAGATCTCTTAAAAGGCTTTAATTTACCTAGGGGGTCCTGATAATAGTATTTCTACTGAGTGTATTGTTTATCCTATGAGTTGAAGTAGCAGATGGCAGTTGAATGGTTTCAGTTATCCACTAAATAAATGGTTCATGGGTACCTTGGGACTATGCTGAGAGACCTTTTCATTCACTCTTGATTCCTGATGCAGCGAGGCCCATTTAAAATTTTTGCTTCTAGGGGTATTTCAACACTTTTGGATATGTGGTCCAATTTTTTTCTTTCACTATTAGGGTACTGAAAGTAAAAAAGGCAAGTGTCAGTTGTAAAAACTAAAGGAAAAGAATATCAGTGTTTTATTTTTTTTTCTTGTAACTTTGAGAGTTGTAGTAATATTAGAATGCCCGATTGGAAAGCATTGAGTGGTTATATCAGGAATTTAGCACAAAGTCTTTCAAAAATCTGGAGAAACAACAGGGGTTATCTAGTGCCTGGTGTACCTTTCAAAAAGGACAGTGCATTTTGGGGCATGTCATAATCCTGAAAAGTAACAAATTGTAGAGGAAAGGGAACTTGTTTTGGAGTCGGAAGAGATCTGGGTTCAAATACATCCTTTGATACTTAGTAGCTGTGTGACCTGATGAAAGTCACTGAACTTCTCAGTCAATTTTAGTTCCCTGCCATAAAATGGGTATAGTAATACTGGTGGATATCCACTATAGTTAGGTTGTTCTGAGAATCAAAATAGAGTGTTTATAAAGAGCTTTGAAAATCTTAACCATGATAATGTCGACTATTTCATCCCATTCCTGGCATGGTAGCAGGTATCATTTCTTATGTTGCAATTATATTTCATTATATTAGTATACCATAATTTGTTCAGCCATTCTTATGGGCGCATGCTTTGTTTAAATTTTTTTTGCTGCCACAAAAAAATACTTCTGAGAATGTTTTGGTATATTTGGGATCAAATCTTTTGCTGTTTCTCTCTATGACTACCTTGTGGTTTGTCCTTCCTACTCAGAGAGGATCATGACATCAGGAGGGTGATGTCATGACTTCATATAAATTGGATTTTAGTGAGGGAGGACTGTGCAAAGTCACCAGCCTCACTTTCTCCTCTGGAGCCATCTGGGTCCAGTGACAAGATATGGATCAGGACGACAGGAGATGGCCCAGGATGCAGTAGAAGACCTTGGCCTTTTTAAGCTAAGGTCTTTTCCGAGTTCTCACTTCGAGTGAGTTGTTACTCTGTCTACTTTATATTCCAAGTAGGCTATCTGGGCAGAAGATTAGAAAAGCTTAGTGACTTTTTTTAAACATAATTCCAAATTCTTTTCCTGAATAATTGCACCAATTCATATCTCCATCAACAACATATTAGTATATTTCCCTTCCCCTACTCCTTTTATCAAATGAATTAAAGTTGCTTGGTGGGATCTGCAGGAAATTTTTTTTTCAGTTTTTTAATGTTTTATTTATGCCTTTGAGGTTTTTTTAACCTGATCCCTGCCTACAAATCCTTCCATTTAACAAAGAAAAACACTTAAACAAAACTAAATAGCAAAGCATTTAGCAAACGATGGAGCATCCCGCTGCCAGAGTCCTTACCTCTCAGAAAGCATTCTGGGTCAGGACCCTTCCTGGGTGAAGAAAGTATCCCAAGAGATTAGCTAGTCTAACACCCTGCTCTGGACAGCTCCAGCAAAAGGACCAAGCTATCTGCAGAGGTCAAGTAGCTGCTCTGAGAGCCTAGCTGGGAATTTGTACTCAGTCTCCATCTTTTTTTTCTTCTTTTTTAATTTTTAATTTTTTAAAATTTATTTTGATTTATCAACAATCACTTCCATATGCTTTTGAGTTTAAAATTTTTCTCCCCCTTCCTCCCCACCTCCCTCCCCAAGATGGCACACAGTCTGATATAGGCTATACATATACATTCCTATTAAACATATTTTCACATTAGTGATGTTGTAAGTAAGAATTAGAACCAATAGGAGGAACCACCAGAAAGAGGATACAAAACTCAGCAGAAGAGGAAAAAAATAACAAATAGTATACTTCGATCTATATTCAAATTCCATAGTTCTTTCTTTGGATGTGGATAGCATTTTCCATTATGAGGCCTTTGGAGATGTCTTAGATCCTTGTATTGCTGGGAAGGGTTAAGTCTGTCAATGTTAGTCATCTGTTATTGTGTACAATGTTCTCTTGGTTCTGCTCACTTCACTCAGCATCAGACCATATAAGTCTTTTTCTGAAGTCAACCTGTTCATCATGCAGGAAATATTTTTTTAAGGGGAATTGATCATATTCTCTTGTCCCTATTACTTTGCAAAATAAAATTATAATAAAACCTAGATCAGGTTAATTTATGTTTTTCTAAATCAGTATGTTGCCCAAAGAGACATTTCTATTTGAGTATGAAACCACTGCTTTAAATGCTTCATTTTGTTGTTAATTAACCCCAGTACCCAGAGTAGAAGGAAATAGGCCATATGACTTATGGTATCCTAATGCAGTTTACTGAAGGATGTTCTTTGCCATCAGTGCATGCTTTGGTATGTGTCTCCAATTGGTGCCTACCAGCTATCTGGGCCGTGCACAGGGCTGTAGTCTCAGATCATCTGATATTAAAGTGAAACTGCCAAATGAGTCATTGGGATTGCAGCTGTAAAGCTAAACATGGCAGTACTTAGGAGATTGTGCTGGCGCCCCTGGGGTAGTGGGTGAATGTGGTTACCTGGGCTGGTTGGTTACCTAATTAGTTGGGTTCTACAGAAGCCTGTGATCTCAGATCAGCTTATTTGGGGCAGCAGCTATCATACCAAGTTCCCCTCTGTCTCTACATTAGCTGTTTCAGTTGTCAAGGGATATAAATGACCTTGAGGGTGCTTCTTGGAGGAAAACAGTAGAACTTCTGCTTGAAAGAATTCATAATTTTCCCTAGAAGATGCACACATATATAATATAGACACATATAAATAAAATATATATATATGTAAACATATGTGTGTATATGTGTATATACATGCATATCTAATGATTACCCAGACATATATAAGGATCAATGTGTATATATACATCTACACACATACACGTGCATGTATATGTTACATATATCAATGCTGACCTAGAGCGACTTGAAAAGGATGCTGAGTTTAAGAAGAAAAAAAGACTTCAACTTACTAATTTACCAAAGTATAAATACATTCATGTATATATTCTAGTGCAAGTGATACTGACAATAATTTATTCATTTTTACTCAGGGTTCATGGTATTTGAAGTTATAAAAATCCTAAATAGCAAGTATGTCCTTTTGTATATTATAAAAAGATATAGAGAGTCATAAATCAGACATTATGGAAGTCACAATTTGGTCACACTAATAAATCCTGTCCAACATTGACTCTTTGTCAGTTTGATGGGTGGGAGGAGAATCTATATATTTGCATTTATCTCATAATTATTTGGAGCATTTTTCATTTGTCTGTTCTCTCTAAAACTTGTTCATATCCTTTTACCATGTCTTTTAGGGGATGACCTTATACATTTGCATCAGTGGCATATATAAGATAGCAGACTTGAATATCAGAGATATTTGATACAAAGATGTTTTTCCACTCAGTTGTCACCACGAAGATTATTCTCTTCAGTCTAATTCATTCTCTTATGGGCTGTCTTGACTCTAAGTTCTTTGAGGATGGGAAATCTATGATGTTTCTGTGATTTCCCCAGTACATTGCTGAGTAAATTGAGTGGGCCAGGTGGAGGGGATACAGCAATAAAATACTTGTTGATTGGTTAATATATGTATTTCTTCGAGGAAAGTGTGTGAAATTTTTTAGACATGATATCTGGTTCCAGTTAATTAGGAACAACAGATTAAATAGTTCTGTAGAAAGGTTCAAGTTATCAATCTGCAAATATTCTGTCCATCCACCAAATTCTTCTGAGTCTTACCTTCTTTGCACATGAAGTACAGAAAATAAAAAAGGCCCAAGATAGAAACTTGAGATTAGTAAAAGTTTAATAACCGGCTTTCTGATAAAAAAAAAGTATGCAAGATAGACTTCTAAGTTTAATCTCCATTATTAGCATTTTCTCCATCTCTTTTTAAAATCTAGACAATCAACAAAACAATAAATCAAGCCCTGATTAGTAACTGAGATATAAATGCTCACAATGAAAATGTAACCATTGACTTTCACCATAGCCATTCTGAGCTGGCTCTAGCACACCTCTAAGGAGTTAGTGGGCACAACCTGGCTGAAATTCCCTCAATGGAGACTGAGAAGGAGTGGGGAGACAATGAGTAGGAGAACCCGGAGACAGCAGTGCCATGAAAACCGAAAAGAGAGTATACAGGAGAGCAGGTGATCAGAGGCTTCACGGAGGTCAAGAAGGATGAGGATTGAGAAGAGCTCATTGGTGACTTTGGAGAGAGCAATTCCTGTTGAATGATGAGGTCAGAAGCCAGACTACAAAAGGTTTGGAAGACAGTGAAAGGCACCTAGTGTAGATGGCTCTTTTTCAAGGAGCTTAGCCAAGAAGAGAAGACATAAAGGATGAGAGCTAGTAAGGATGGTCAGGTCAAGGGAAAGTTATGTTTGTTTGTTTGTTTTAAGGATGGGGAAGACTTGGGCAAGTTTGTAGGCAGTGAGAAAGAGTTAGGAGATTGAAGATAAAAGAAAGTAGGGATTATAGAGGGGCAATTTTCTGGAGAAGTCAACAGAAGATAAGATCAAGGTGCATGTAGAGTGGTTAACTCTAGCAAGGAGAAAGGCCACCTCCTCATCCAAGACCAAATGAAGGTAGTCATGAGAGATTTCTAAATGATAGAAGGAAGTGGTAGCCTCGTTTTTTCAGGGAATATAAGTACGAAGAGTGAAACAATTCGTACTCGCAAAGAAGCTTACATTCTAATGAGGAACACAATTATTGTTATTCAGTCATTTTTTAGTCCTGTCCAACTCCGTGATCCAATTTGGGTTTTTTTTGGTAAGAATAGTGGAGTAGATTGTCATTTCCTTCTCCAACTCATTTTATAGATGAGGAAACTGAGGCAAACTGTGTTAGGTGACTTGCCCAGGGTCACAGTTAGTGTCTGAAGCCAGATTGGAATTCAGGAAGACTCATCTTCCTGATTCCAGGCCCAGCACTTTATGCTACCTAGCTGCCCCACACAATTATACATCTATCCATCTATATACATACATGTATGTTTATATGTATAGTCTATAAATAGAATAAATATAATTACAAATTAAAATGGTACTTACATTACTGTAGAAACTAGTCATTATTTAAAATCTTATTCCTATGAGGAAAGTCAGTTAGGACTAACAGTGCCAGGAACATAGCTTTCTCCAAGTAGGGATGGGGTCTTACCTCCTTTCGCCAGAGGCACTTCAGTGGGAGGGGCCAGGGATGATGATCATTTGTATAGACAAGTTATTTGTATGTTGGATCCTGTCTAGATAATTAATTATGTGTGACCATTCTTCAAGATCAGCTACACCCAAAAAGTTCATGCAAATCCAACACAAAGGGAAAGACAAAAGTATTTTTTTAAAATTTTTCTTTTAAGGTGTTAAAATTTGCTAATTTTCATAAGCCTTATTATATGACTTATGTTTCTATATTTTGGAATGATTAATAAAAGATATCCTAATAACTAAGATGTAGTTTTTTGGGTTTTTTTGGGTTTTTTTTAGGCAATTGGAGTTAAGTTAAGGGTCACACAGCTAGTAATTATCAAGTATTTGGTCTGAGGCCAGATTTGAACTTGGTCCTCCTAACTTCAGGGCTGGTGCTCTATCCACTGTGCCACCTGGCTACCCCCCTACACTTACCAAGATGTAGTCTTAGCTAACAATTGGAGACTTTGGGAGATATCCATTCTTTTTTTTGGCAAGGTTTTAAAAAAAATTATATTGATATAGGTGAGTCACTTGATCTCAGTGCCCTTGGCAACTCTCTAAGACTCTTACATTGTGGAGAAGGGTGATTTTATTGATATAGTCAACTCTGGAATGAGAAGAGTTCCCTCTATCAATAAAATCTCAAGATCATTCCCTATATCTATCATCATTTGTTTTCATACCACGTCTATATTTTAGCATATCCTTTCTCCTCCTTCCTTATCCATTATTTCATCCCTCAGGACAAAGAATAAGAGAGAAAGGGTGGGATGGAGGAAACAGTTCAGCAAAACTATCCTACTCTTTGTAAGTGATTCCACCACCAGCCTTCATGCAGCCTCTGCACAGGCTGCCCCCACACTTGGGGTGCTCTTTCTTCTCTTCACCACTTGGAATCTCTAGCTCCCTGTAAGTCCCAGCTCAAAATGTCATGTCTTACACAAATTCTTTCCTGATTCTCCAGTTATTAGTGCTCTCCTTCACTACCCAGTTACTTATTTGTGTATATGTTGGGCCCCTTCCCTCAAGTAAAAGGTAAGCTGCTTAAGGCAAAGGATATTTTGTTCTAGTCTCTGTATTATACATACTTAGCATAGCACCTGGCACTGGTGCTTAATAAATGCTTGTCAAATTACTGCTTATAATTGCTTATAATGTCTATTTCTCTCTTCTCTGCCTAGTTGTATCATTTTTCTTGAAGACATTCCATTGGTCTTTTCTTTACCACCAAGTTCTTTGGAATCGAGTTATGTCAACAGCTGCTCTACTTACTTTAGTTAGAAGTGGAGGGTACCAGGTGAGAAGGAGAGCTCTGTTGACATCACGCCTACTGCACGATGACAAAAGAGTGACCTCCACCTGTCACAGCTCCACCTCTGAGCGAAGATCTTCTAGATTTGATTCGGACGGCAGTGGGCGTCCGGCTACATGGGACACTTTTGGGATCTGGGATAACCGCATTGATGAGCCAATTCTCCTCCCACCAAGCATTAAGTATGGAAAGCCAATTCCCAAAATTAGCCTGGAAAATGTGGGCTGCTCCTCCCAGATTGGAAAGCGGAAAGAGAATGAGGACCGGTTTGACTTTTCGCAGCTGACAGATGAAGTCCTGTACTTTGCAGTGTATGATGGGCACGGTGGATCTGCAGCTGCTGACTTCTGTCACACACACATGGAAAAATATATTATGTATGTACATCAGCTTTCTTTCTGGCATCTGGTGGTTACCCTAGTAAGGCCCTTATAGGCTTCTGATTCAGATTGAAGACATTTGTAAATCCCTTTTATCAAGTACTGATATTGTACTGCGTAAAAGTATTTGTGAAAGTTGCATCTTGTCAGTCTGTGGCTAAAGGTAGAAAAAGCAGCTTCCATTGTCTTTAAAAAAAAGTTTATTGAATTTTTTTCTACAATACTGTCACTTTCCAGTAACTGCAGCCCTCCCCCTCTTCTTCATAGAACTCTCCTTTGTTGCAAAGAAACATAGATCACAGCAACTGCATTTGATCATGTATGTAGAATGCAGTTTCTCAACTGAATGGAAAATGTTTATTTTCTCTCTTTTTTTTGAGCTAAGCTTTATTTGCTTCTTAATGAGAATTTTAGAAATACTTATTTGAGCTTTACTTATTTTTTTTTGTAAATATTGGTCAGGATTCATGGTGCTTAATTTGTATTTGGCCATTTCAAATGGCCTATATGGCTTTGAATTGTAGGCAGTAGATTTAAAGTCTTCTAATACTGCTATTGCGTGATGGTATTAGTGGTAGGGAGATTTCCTTAAGTGTGGTCACTGGAATCCTAATAAGTGATCTCACTGGCCTAGTTATCCTTAAGAGAGTGCTGTGTTACTAGTTCTGAATGAAAAAGAGTCCACCATCATACATCCAGGTAAATACCCATATTGTCTTAATAGATGAATATGTACCAGTTAGGTCACAGGATCTGTGAACCGAAAAGATACTTAGAGGTCATCTAGTGATCCTTTCATTTTACAGAGAAGACCACCTAGGTCTACAAAGGGCAAGTGACTGGCCCAAAATTACACAGATAGTAAGTAAGAGAAGCAATATTTGAACCCAGATCCTCTGAAGCTCTTTGTCTATCACACTGCTTGTGGTCATCATGCCTTCTGGCTACTGTAATATAAAGGTATACGCTCCATTGCCTAGTTCCTTTGGCTTCCTGGTCAGACATTTTCATTAATTTCATAGGATTGTTGTGAGGATAAAATAAATTATGAAGCTTGAAAGTATCTTGAAAAGAATAAAGGTCTAGATAAAGGGATTGGTGGTGATGTTAAAAAGAAAAAAAGTTGTCATAGTTAAGCCTATAATTACTTAGCTAAATATAATAAATAGAACTATACCAAACTGTAAAATGATCATATTTGCCCTTGGCTCTTTTTATTTTTTTTTCAAACAAAGGGATTTCCTTACCAAGGACAAGAACTTGGAAACTGTGTTGACCAGTGCTTTCCTAGAAATAGACAAAGCATTTACAAGGCAAGCACACTTATCTGCTGATGGTAAGTCAAACATCCACATTTCTTCAGGGCTGTAGAGATGTGTAAGGATAAAGAAGCCACTTTTTGTTTTAAAAGTTTGATATTTAATGTTGAAATAGACTTTTAAGTAGGAAATTATTTAATATAATGAAAGGAATCACTATGAGCATGTGTTGAAATCCAAACTGATAGATGGTTTGTACTGCACTAAAAAATTGTCCTGAAGAGTTTTGGATATGTAACATTTCATTAAACTTTTAAAAAGTTATTTCAAATTATTTCTCAGAATCTACTTCCTTAAAACAACTTGCTAGACTACAAAGTTTGATCCTTATTGGAGAAATTATCTTTTGCCTAAAAGGCTATTGCTCCCATAGGTTTAAACAAGATGAATTGCCCAACACTGCCCTTTCATTTGCTTGGTTGCTCCATTCAGTGTATAAAAGGGTCCACACTGAAGGACAGTGTACTCAAGAGATTGGGGATATCCTTTTAGTATAAGGAAGCTCTATAATGGACACCCACATCAGAGTTGGCAGAGTATTTTATACTAACAAGAAAATTCACGTTTGTTAAATTAAGGGGGCAAAAAGTTAAGCTGCCATACTTTAACAAGAGAGATGTTTGATAGAGGCCTTCACACTTATTGGCTGATGTGCGGACTGATACTCTGTATTTGATTAACTCCTTACTTTGAAGGAGCTTAAAGTCCGTTACCCTATTTTTATTTTCCCAGTGTCCCAAAGAGGTGGCTGGTGTTACATTATCCCCATTTCACAAATGAGGAGGCTGACACTCAAAAAAAAGAATTAATAGTGTCAGGATTGGGACACAGATTTCTCCTGACTCTCAGGGCCACTTCACTGATAAGTATCAAATTTCTGTAGTTTAGAGAGACAGTGACTTTGTGATGAGGTTCAGTTATTTTCCCTGCTCTTTGAAAAAGGTTTTCTTATCAAAATGCTCAGAAAAACATTGAAGTCAGCATTTTTCAAGACTGATTATCTAGTTGCTGGCCTCTTTCTAAGCAAAAAGGAAAGACCTAAGAGAGGAGGCAGAATTTAAATATTGTTTGACTCTTGTTAGTAATTTTTAAAAGGTTGAGCAATTAGCTCAATTTCAAACAATTGTTTGGTCCAGTATAGATCATGTGTAACAGGCCATCCTGAAAATAGCTAAACATTTTGGAGTAAAATATTTGGAAGACAGTGTTCAAGTTTAACAAGGTAGGTGACCCTGTATTATGACCATTTAAATAACAGTACTAAACTTATCCTAGATGACAGATCTATGGCTGGAAGGACCTTAGAAGTCATCTACTCCAGCCCTTCATTTTACAGATGAGGGCACTGAGGCCAGGGAGGTGAGACGCACAAGAGCACAAGGCAGTAAGTTCCACAGGCAAAATTTGAAACCTGGTGTCTGACTCCAGAGCCAGTATTTTGTCTGCTGTGCCAGGCTGCTTAAATTGTAATATCAAATGTAACAGAGAATGTATTAGAACAACTAAAGATGTTCATTTTGGGCAAAACTTGGTAAGAGTGTTTAGTTTTATAACAATAAGAACTTAAAGGAACTTATGAGAATTGGGAAAAAACTTCAAGATCAGCGTCTCAAAATATTTTTAAGAGATGCCACTCATCAGGTGCAGCTGTGTAAGTTTATAAGTTCTGCTTAAGGCCTTCTGTGATGGCTCATCATGCTGTGGGAGGGGATCAGTAGAACTGGAGCTCTAGAAGGTTATGCCTCATTGGAAAGGCTTGCAGGATAGTTCTGGCGAGCAGACGTATATATTAGTCAAGGAACAGCCTGGTGAAGTTCCAAATGGTTCATTGCCAGAGGGGCAGCTGGCTTCCTAGTAGGAATGTGGATATATAAATAACTAGAAGTAACTAAACCTTAATACTACTTTTAAGACCTTCTAGGATGGTAAATATGGTATGTAGAATCTGTTTTCACCAATGTCAAATGGATTGGCTGATCAAACACACTAAAAATCCCCTAAAACAGTTTGTTCATACGTATTTGTTTTGGGTATCCTTCCCTTTGAAGAAACGAACTAAGAGAAGTACTCTATGTACTATAGGTTGACTGGAAAAATCCATTGGGCTGCAAAAGATCTGTAGACCTAGCCAAATGGAGCATTTTAATCATGTCTTTGGAATTTCCTGAAATATTACATAACTCGACTAGTAATATTTCACCAAAGTAAAAACAAAAACAAAAACCAACCTTCCCTTTATACTGTGATTCTTAGACCAAAATTTTTTAGTGAGTTTCCTGTTTGCCTGTGTTCTTGTTATTTGTGGCAGGGAACTTGGACCTGTATTCCATGAACACTTGTAAGCTGGGCTTTAGTGGAAAAAGATCTGCTAAATTTTGTCTCAGGTGAAGGAATCTGGTGGTTTCTAGTTTCCTACATCCTATTTGATCTATTAGTCGAGATGACTTATGGAAATTGCTCAACCAGTGTTAAGAACATATTGTAAGATCTTAGTCATATAGTAATACTGTTAGGGAAAAAGTGAGAATGTTTCCTGTCTGTTAAACATTATACCAAGATGGGTGCTGATTCAACATATTTTATAATTTTTTTTCTGTGACTGTAATAGATAATTTCTAGAAATGTAGTCAAATCCTAAGGTTTGGAGTCCCTGAAACTAATTTGGGTAGAATTGAAGTGCTTTTGAACTTTTTTGATAGAAGATATACCAGTAAAATTTGATTACTTAGTTTCTGAAATTTCAGCTCTCTAAGCTCAGCCCATCACTCACATATGTGATTGCCGTGTATTGACTTTATTTTATTTTTATTGTTATTTTATTTTATTTTATTTTTTTTAGGCAATTGAGGTTAAGTGACTTGCCCAGGGTCACACAGCCAGTAAGTGTCAAGTATTTGGTCTGAGGCCAGATTTGAACTCAGGTACTCCTGACTTCAGGGCCAGCACTCTATCCACTGCACTACCTAGCTGCCCCTGTGTATTGACTTTAAACAAAGAAAAGGAGCACCAACTTTTCTTTGGCAGATTGCGCCTGAATCTGCCATTTAATCACTTGCCTGGCCTTTGATTTTTTTGTAGAAGCTATTGTAGCATTTCTGTTTTAGTGACCCAATCATATTACAGGTAGTCTTAGTGGTAATCAAATACAAGTTAAATTTGAAGTCTGCTGTTTGAAAATGTATCTTTTTCAAGTGGTAATTTTATATTTGATTAAAAAGCAAATAAACACTTATATTGTGTTCTTAGCACCTTTTTGTTTAGTTGTTTCAGTTGTGTTACAACCCTTTGTGACCCTATTTGGGGTTTTCTTAACAAAAATACCAGAGTGGTTTGCAATTTCCTTTTACAATGGATCCATTTTGTCAGGCAGTCAAAGGTTAAGTGACTAGTCCAGAGTCATGCAGATAAGAAGTGTCTAAGGCTAGATTTGAGCCCAGGTCTTCCTGACTCCAGGCCCAGAGCTCTATCCACTGAGCCACTGACTGGCTCCTGTTCTTAGCACACACCATGCTTTATTTAGTTTTACAGAAATAGCAGGGTTTTTTTTTATTATCCAGAAGTTCCAATTTTATTTTCAACTTTCACCGTAGAAAGGGATAAGGTTATCTAATCTAAACCTTGCCCAATGGATGAGTCTTTTCTATGACCATTCCAAAAACAAAGGATAAAATGTGAACATGATTAAAACTTTTAATGTCATTTAATTGTAATTTCATAAAATACATAGATTAAAAATGTAGTTTCAAATAGAGGTTTTCTGCTTTAAATTTCCAATTAAAATTATCTTGTTTTAAAAAAATGAAGTTTGGTCCAAAATTAATCAAGGTGGTTTTAAAAAAACAATCATTATGAAATTGATTCTTAATCAGTCACTTCAAACAAGCCATTTCATCTTCCCTAAAATCCCTTTAATACTAAAATCACATTTGTTTGTTGGCTTCTACAGTCTACATATAAATATCAATACGTATTTATACAAAATATGTAAACTGCCTCAATGAAATTGAATCACTTACTTGTTACTTCAAAGAGTCACATATTTCACCAAAGACAATACCTGCTTTAAATAAACCATTTAAATTACTACAGGTACACTTTGCTTTTTTAATCTTGTTTTTGTTGATATCTTTTACTTTAATATTTCTGTTTTAACATCACATTCCCTTTCAAAATAATCTTTTTTTTGCATCATGATAATTTCTTCCCATATCTTGCTCTTTCCCCCTCCTAGAAATCCATGCATAACTGATCAGTAGGGTTGAAAATCTGTGCAATATACAACACTTGGGGACCTCCTGCCTCTTCAGACGGTTGGGGTCAGGATGTCGTCTTTTATCTTTTCTTTCAAGCCATCCTTGTCCTTTCTAATTTCTCAGCATTCATTTTGGTTTTGTTTTATTTCCATTTACATTGTTGCAGTCACTTTATATAATGTTTTCTTGGCTCTAATTACTCTGAATCACTTTATGTAGCTCTTCCAGTGCTTCTCTATAATTCATATTTGTCACTTCTGCATAGTAATATACTACTCCATTACATTGGCCATTCCCAATCAGTGGGCATCTACTTTGTTGATGATTCTTTGTTATCACAAAAATGCTGCTATTAATATTTTGCTATGTGATATGTGGTATGGCCATTTTATCAATGGCCTCCTTGAGGTATAAGCCAAATAGCAGAATCTCTGAGTCAAAAGGTATGGATTTTTTAGTAACTTTATTTGCATAATTCCGCATTGCTTTCCAACATGGTTGTGATGAATCATATTCCCAACAACAATGCACTAGTGTCCTGTCCTCCTACCACCCCTCCAGCAATGATTATTCCCGTATCGCCTACAGTTCTGAATCAGTCCTTATTCTCTCCCTATCAAATCAAATCATCCTTTGAATAAGTATTTTTTAAAAGCTACTTTACTCTTTAGCTCATTATTTCATAATAATCTTACTTTACAGCAAGACTCAATGAAACTTGAAAAGTTTTTACCAAGCCCAACATTCTTTTCTCTAATAATCAAGGAGAGAAGTGACATCACAAGAAAGACACAGTTAAAAGTGAAGTAAACTAGAAGGAAAAAGGAAAACAAAGCTTGGATTATAATAGAGGAGAGTAGTGGAATTTAATTATCATTGTGTTTAATCTGCCAATATTAATAATTTTGCACAAGCCTGGGGCAAGGTAGCAGCAGGTATTTTAGACATATTTTTTGGATTAACACTAACCCTGGAGATTCATCTTTTTAAATAAATAGGATGACGATGGTAATGTCAGTTGCTAAATTTGTAGGAATGCTCTGGAGAAAGTATGTTGGGGCCTTTTGTTGTTCATAGGACAGTTTTTGTTAGTAGCATTTGATAAATGACGAAAGTTGTGTTAAGGCACTGTATAAAAGTAGACGTGCACATGCAGATTGACTTTCTTTATTTCATCTTAACCTGTTATTATTTAACCTGTGATTACTATTTCTATTTTAACTGGGTCAGACTGAGGTGTGGGCAGTTAAGCCTTAATTAATGGTCCTACATATTAGAGAAAAAGCCTCTTAACTAAATGGACCCATGATGGTCTTACCCAATTTAATGCTTAAAGTTTATTCTAGTACCCACATGCATGCTATCAGAATTTTCTGAAATTCAAATTAGCTGTACTTTATTTAAATAGATATGAACTTTGAGGGAGAAGAGGTACTACACTGTAATACATAACTGTCTAATACAGGGGTTTTTTTTTTTCACAATTTCAATTTCATGTGTCTTCTCTATGTGAAACCCATGCATAGCCCATGCATACTTTCATTTCTACCTTGTTTTTGCTCAGCTCCAGATAAATTAGTGTGCTATGTATCTGTAACTATTTGACTTATCTAAACTTTTTTCAGCAAAAAATGACCATGTATTTATATACATATATGTGTGTGTGTGTGTGTGTGTGTGTGTGTGTGTGTTCAAATTGTCACTATCACTAATTTATACCCCTGTATGTGATATTTGCAGCGCTTTGCTGATCTCTGGGACCACTGCAACAGTAGCCCTGTTGCGAGATGGTATTGAGCTGGTCATAGCTAGTGTTGGGGATAGCCGTGCTCTCTTATGTAGAAAAGGAAAGCCAATAAAGCTGACCACAGATCACACTCCAGAGAGAAAAGATGAAAAAGAAAGGTATTGCCTCCATTGTTTTGGGGTTGTTGGTTGGTTTTTGTTTTGTTTTTTTTTTTTTTGGTAGAAATGCTGGTTTGCATTTAAATAAAAGTTTCTCTCCTAAGTTGAATGATGGTCTTTGACAAATGGTAAGCTTTTTAGAGTTAATTGAAGTAATATTAGCCTTCCCTTTTCATTAGCTTTTAAATTTTTCTTCATGGAAAGGATCAAGAAAAGTGGTGGCTTTGTAGCTTGGAACAGTTTGGGACAGCCTCATGTGAATGGCAGGCTTGCAATGACAAGGAGCATTGGAGATTTGGATCTCAAAAACAGTGGTGTGATAGCAGAACCTGAAACCAGAAGGATTAAGGTAAGAGACTGTTTGATAGCATGAGGCCTGAAACAAAGAGAAGTCCATCAGAGGTTTTCCAAGAGTATGAATTTAAATGAAATGCCCATGTTAAGAGAGAATGGAAAGGACTGAAAAATTATTTAAAGAAAAGGAGGTAATTTTGCATGGCATATGTAAGGAAACGGTGACACATTTTTTCAGTTTCCCAAGGTTGTTTGCTTGCATGTTTGTTTATTGTTATTTCTAACAAGGGTAGGCTCCTTGTTAATAACTGAAATCTCCAGGCAGGCAACCGCTTTTACTTCAGTTCAACAACCATATATTTATTAATCACCTACTTTGTGTCAGGCATTACAGGTTCAAAACCAAAATAGTCCCTTCCCTGAAGAAGCTTATTTTCTGTTGTATAAATCTGCATTCTGCCATTGAATCTTCTTACTGTCAAATACTGAAATAAGTCAAACTCATAAGTGGAGGAAAAGGTCCAATGCGAGAGGGCTTGGCCCCTTGCTGGCCCTAGGGCATCCAGAAGCTCACTCCCAGAACTGGTAAGATATAATCTCTGATGAATCCCACCACTGCCAACATTAAATGTCAAGTCCTGAAATAAATCAGACTCGTAAGTGGAGGGAAAGGCTTCTTTAATTGAGATAAAGAGGGTCGTGAGCCTGGGTCACTCATATATTTGAGTACATCAGTGTCCACCAAGAAAAACTGCAGAAAGGTTTTTATACATTAAGGAGGAAAAAGTATGTGTGTGTGTGTGTGTGTGTGTGTGTGTGTGTGTGTGTGTGACATGAGGAACAAGGCTTGGTCATGAGGCCCCAAACACTCTTGGCAATCCAAGCAAGAAAACCCACTTCATTCTATGTTTTCACCCTTCACGATTCAATTTTACCCAAACCTTAATAAGGAGGCAAGGATATTTTGGAGTCAGTTTTGGTAGCTGTGGCTAGCCTAAACTAGTTCTGTTTGCAAAAAAGGATTCCCAAGGTGGGGCCCTAGGACAGAGCCTAGCCCACCCTGTTTGAGACAAAGTTCCTTCAGAGCAAAAATGTACAGACATAGGATGATGTAGAGGAGTGAGGCTTCTCTTGCTGTCAGGATTTCCTTTTGACAGAGAAGAAAATACTAAATTTGTTGTTCACAATATTAAAATTAATTTTTCTGGTATTTCCTGCCTCTGATTTGTTGAGAGATGTCGTCTTCTCAATGAATCACCAACTGGTATAGCAAACATTTAACATTATAAGAATAGTGTAGGGGAAAGGGGGAGAAAGATTGACCAACGCATTGACAGGAGCCAGTGGGGGCAGTCCCTTTTGGTAAGTCAGCCTTGCAAAGAATAACAGCACATGGGAAGGGAAGGGTAACCCACTCCTACTGACCATTTCATCAGTCCATCATATCCAAGGGCTCAGAAGTCTCATACAGCTGTCTGGTTTCTGAGAGCATCTCTTGATTCAGTCCTCTGTGTCTCTGGAAACTTCTTGGAATATGTAGGGTCTCAGAGCAACTTCTTCTAGCAGGTTTGCTTCTCCAGTTCAGTTTACTTGTAGAGATTCCATTTCTGTTAAAATCTCTTGCAAAATGGATCTTAATACCATTTAATACAGTCACTTTAAGTTTGCTTTGCCAATAACCAGGTCATGTGTCAAGAACCAGTTCAAAACCTCTGACTGTAATAAGAACATCAAATTAAGAACCTCTAGACCAGAGAATTTACATTTTTCCATACGCCTTGCTGCTCAGATCCTTATCTAAACCAGATACTTGATTTAGACCCTGTCAGCAACAGGCTGAAGGGAAAATCTAAAAGAATTTATGAATATCTAATTTGTAGAATGAACCCATCTGGTTAGGAATTTGATACTCGCTAATGGAATTATGTGGGATAAGACTGGGAAAAAAAAGCCTTTTAAATTGGCATTGACTCTACCATCATTTAACTTTGGCGTTTATCTTTTTTTATTATTTACCTCACATTCAAGTCCAAGAAAGGGAAGGGACTTCAACTTACTGCCTATAATGCAAGTTAGCAAATTGTTATGGTGATATATTTAGGAAATTCAAATACAAACTGAAAAATCAGAAAATTCTAAACCCAATTTTTCTATTTGACATATATAGATATCTGATCTTGTTATTATTATTTCTTTTTCTTAAAACAAAATTTTCACTCTAGCTATTTGCTTCATTGTTTACTCTAATTATTTACTTTTAGTTGCTTATTCCCCCCTCAGGAAGATGAGCTGCTAAGGCACTAATTCTGTACAAGAGCACATAGGTAATAGTATTCTGTCTAATGCATTAGTAATTAGTAATGTAATAGTATTAGTAGTAGTAATTAATAGTAATAATAATTAGTAATGTAATAGTATTCTGTCACAAATGAATTTACCTAAGAGACACTAATTTTGTTCCAGTTAAACAAAAGGTGTGATACGGTGTATTCCAGATTGTATCGAATACGTTGTATATAGTGAAATATGTTCAGTTACTAACCATGTTGAAATTAATTAGGCATTATGCCTACACAGACAACTGCTTTCAAAACCTCTACAGATTCTTGTGTAATTCACTTGCATTTCAGAGCATGCCTTATATACAAGTGTTAATCCCACATTAAATAATAACCCTGAATAAAATTGGATGTCTCTTTAAGGTAACACAAGACAGACCATAAGTCACTCTTTTCCGAAGATAACTTATTGCAGTGAAATCCTTTTCTTTAACTCAGAACAGAAAACATAAGATATTAACCTCACTAAATAATAGAATTATATCCTGATTTCACAAATACTTATGTTATTGGCTAATACCATGCCATGCCATTATGAGATATTTAAAGGACTTTAATCTTATGTAGAAATATATGACTAGTAACAGGGAGCTAACAAGGCCAAATACCCATCCATTTAGTTGTTCAGCATATCGTTTTGACTATAGTCTCAGACTGAAAACAGTAAGAGGTGCTAAGGTATTGCAGCAACTAGATTCATCATAAAAATCACAGTTTAACTTGCCCTCTTTAGAGAAATGTGTTATTAGAAGAAGAAGCAGTGGCATGATTGTATAAAACAGCATCAATACTAGTCCTCCAGACCTAAGCCCAAGGACTCAGAATGATTCAACACATGTATAAGAATAGTATAAGCACAAGTATATGGCAAGATGCACATCTAGACTCAGAATTAACCAGGAGAGAAGATTTTTTGTATGGAAAGATAAATTAGGAGGGTCCAACCTTTAGCCTTCCTAAGGTCACCCTCCCAACCTTTATTCCCAGGGACAAATACCCACTGGCCTTAGATCTCAGATGTCACTCCCATTGGACTGCTGGCATTTTTTCATGAAGCAGTGGGGCATTGGCTGAAGGACGTGACAAACTTAAAAACAGAGCTCAGAAAGAATATGCAGGATCCCAAAAAGGTTGCACCACAAGCAACAGTCTCAGTGATCACAGTAGGTCTAGACACAATTGTCATCAGTGCTCTCAAGTTTTTACAGTAAATTAGCTAGCCTTCTAGGAAAAAAAGAGTCACAAAAGGTTTTACTTAACATTCCTTGCTAGTATTTCTCCTCAAAAACAGCATAAAATTCATCCTGATGTAAAATGGTAGTCATTAGAATCTAATGAAGTAATAACGTTTTTAAGTTCACATAGGTAGTATGTGGTAGCTGTAAGCCTCCAGACTCACAGCTATCTATCTTTTATTCAATCCTTAAAGCAAAAATAAGTCTTTAAGATTAGAGTTTGTTAAGACTAAGTTAGTTAAAATATAACTTTAGTATAGACCTTTCCAGATATAACTTTATAATTAAACAAAGACCTAATTACCACCCTCCTTGTAAAACTTGTTTGCAGTGGGGGAGGAAATTCAGTTTTCTAAGTGGCTAGCCAATGAAACTTCTTTACTCTAGGCGAACTGGAAGTTTCCAATGTCTTAAATTGTACTTTGGAATATTAATAGTTTTCAAACATTTACTTTCCCTTTAACAGTTCAGCTCATAACGTAGCAACGTCCAGAATAGAAGAGAAGCCGTATTCCTAACAGTCCCAAAACATGAAACAAAACCCATTTCCAGTCAGGTGACCTTAATTCAGTTAAATGCATCTCCCAGTTACCTTACACAGAAAATTATTTCCAACAAATTTAAGTGGAGCTTACATAAACGGATCTATAAACCTTCTCACTCTAATTAGATATGTTAAGTATTTTCACCCCTGTAGCCCTCAGGTTTAAGCATCATAGAACTTATACCATGTCACCAGCAGAGTTGAAACAAATTTATAGCCATGTCAAACACCTTATCAGATAAAACAACAAAGGATTTTTTCTTTTCCTATTTTTGTAATCCGAATGAAATAAAATACTCTTAATAAAGACAGTAGCCTTTAGACAACTCTTTAACAACTGAATTTATAACCTAACTCTTTACATTACAAGAGAATTTATTTTCCTATCTACATTGACGTATTTAATTTTGCATTGGCCATGTTAGGTAGTATATATAAAGCTTTGCCAAATTAAATTCACAGCGATTAGCTCTGTTTTGATAGAAATTTACAAAAAAGGTAAAACTGAGGCAGGTCTCTGGCTAGGTATCCTTTATTATGGTCTATTGGCCCAGCTTCTGGCCAAGAGACCCCAGATTCAGGGTATAATAAATTTTTATAAGCATGTAACTAAGAGCAGAATAGAAATCTCATTAGAGAGAGAGAGAATAAATTCAATTACCTGGATCTATTTTTCAATCTCACTTTATAATTTCAATTGTTTAGTGTGAGCTATTTATCCCAAGCATTTAATATTATGGGTTCCACTATTTCCAGCCGATCCACTACCAAAGGTTTTTAAAGTGGCAGTAATGTACTCCAATGATCACACTTAAGAGTCAGTTGTAATTTAGTTCAAATCTGGGTTCTGCAATCTCAGAAAGAACCCATTGCCTATCAGTTTACTCTTAGCCCTCTATAACTCTCTATTGGCTTTCAAATCAAGCTGCAGTTTTTA